TTCTTAATCTTCATTAACAGTATATGAGCAAGAGGCTAGGGAAGCATTTTTTTCAGGGCAAATATGTAAGCTTAAACTTGAAAAATGTGTATTTGGGTGTAGATGCAGTCTGAACTATGAAGTCAAGGACTCTGAGCCAGGTTTGGATCTTTTTCTCTTTTTTTCTCAATACATACAGAAAGAGAAACAGTTCTCCCTGTGAGCTACCCATGACAAAATTGAATGAAGAATCCCAAAGGCAAAGAAGTATAAAAAAGGCTTGATCCCTATTAGACATATTATCTGCTGTCAAAAGTCAGTGTTGGTAGTAGAGGCAGTTCAACAAGTTTGTCCAGTGTTGAACATTGTTTAAGAGTAAGGACAAATTGCCAACAACAGGCAATTTTCCCATTGCAGTCTAACTTCAAATGATTTCATTCCAAATACTTCAGTACACATAGAAGACAGCCAAGAAATCTTTAGATACTGATGACTGCAAGAGAGAAGATCAAGGTAAATCTCAGACAACATTAATAGCTAACCTTCATAGTACCATTACATATTACCATTACAGCACTACTGTCAAGAGATCCAGGTGCTGGCAAGAAAACTGTTAGCAAAAAATTCCTGTAGTTATATCTGAAACTTACCACTGAGCAAGCCCTCAATAGTCTGTCTTTGTTTCCGTGGGGCATTAAGAAAATATGTCTACTAAGGAGACACTGAACTTCTGAACCACGTTCTTACCAACCATTAATTTTCCATCTTACAGGGTACAAAAGCATACACTTCTGCTCTAAGACCTTGAGCTATGCATTTCTTTTTACTAATGTTTTTCCATTCATCTACTGAAGAGTTCAGATAAAAATAGGGGGTTTTTATTTTTCCCAATGTTAATTTAGTTCTCTGAGACATCCTAACTTCCACCAATTTGTCTCAAGACAAATGAATTGACAAAAGTAATATGAATTTTGATTTCTTCGTCCTTCCATGAAAGTCCGAGTTCTGTAAGCACACCAGTAGGTATTTACTATTAGCCATTAAGCTACCTCTTAAGGTGGTCTGAGACTTACTTTGATCTTGTCCCTTGCAGTCATCAGCATTTATAGATTTCTTGGCTTTTATGTGCAATGAAGTATATGAAATCAAAATAATTGGGGGGGCATGTGCCTTGGTTTAACAAGCTTCATACACAATTTGAGAAAGCTGAGAAGTGAGACTTTTTGCTCTCAGGTCTCACTAGTTGGATTTCAACTGGGGCTAGGTTGAAAGCACAGCAGAACTGGCCCACTAACAACAATTTACGCTTTGAAGTGCTGGCTTCATGCAGTCAGCCCTGGAAATTCTCTCTTCCGCACCTGCCCATATGTTCTTAATTTGAGTGGAATACAAATCACGCTCATGAGAGCCCTTTCAATCTGATCTACAAGTGTAGCTATGCTGGCCTCACATTTTGTACCTTCATTTATGTATTTATATAATAGATATATAAATATTCATATATTCATATATTTATATATTTAAATGTACTCGGAATAATAAATGCAACTGTCTGTCATTTTTTGAATTGTGGGGTTTTCTGACCCAAGAAAATCAAAATTCCAAATACCCCTCTTTCGTGGATGCTTGAAAATTCATACCAGAGGACAGTACTGAGATTGCTGATATGCACAAGACCTTCATCACAAAAGTCAACTATATATTGATCTGTATGTCTGTAATAACACTCCAATGTAATAGAGATTTGGATGGCCAAGGAAGAAGTGTTTGGATTCCTAAAACCTGGGTGGCAACTGTAAAAGAAGAAAGAACAGACTTTGGAGGAGAGCACTGGGAACTGACAACTTTGATTCCTATTCCATCGGCTTAAATTTTTCTGTAAACTGCATAGGCAAAGATCTCAGATATAGCTTCCTGGCAGGGACTACAAAGTTGACAGCTATTACATGGCAATCATCGATAAACTGAGCAGGCCTAAGGACCAAAAATCTGCATATATTATAGAAATAATCCTGTACCTCTTCACTGGCCTTACATTTTGCTGTTATGTAAAAAAGTATTGTCAAGACTCGAAAGACAAGCTCTCTGAGTTAAGAACAAACAGAACTAAATCTGCATGTGTGACATCAGTTTGGCCTCCTTGTGCTCATGAGCTTATTATTCTAGTGTGGTTTGGTATCAGGGCTGTACACAAAGGAGGCAGTTGTCTATTGAATTCCTTACTCTTGCTACAGAAGTTGGAGGACAGGATTAGTAAAACACTGAGCTGCTGGTCTTTAAGTTAAGGCAGGAGAGCAGACTTTCTATCTCTACCTCTGACAAGAAATGTTAGTTCTTAAACAGAATTTTCAGAGCTGGTCAGTAATGAATCTTCATTACCTAAATATGCAGTTTGACGACTATTTTCTGAAAGTATAGCGAATTCACAACTTCAACTGACGTAAGTTTAGAGCTGTTGTTTGAGCAAAGATCTTCACAAAATACAGGTGCTTGATCTGAGTAACCAAACTGGTCAAGGAAAGTTAGGACATATGGATCTCAATACGTTACATATGAAAAATGGGGAAATGATTCCTAATACATATAAACTCATATGCCAAATCAGGACTACTTATTCCAGAATAAACTGTCATGTAAAAAAGGTCTCACTCATGGCCTAATCACCATATTATAAAGCATCTACTTAAATGTCTACACTTGTTCCAGATTAATTTTCACCAGTAAAAAAAATTATTACTTGTAGCCTGCTTCTTGCCTCTGAACTGATAAATTCCTCATATGCCTTTCTGGTGTGTACATTGTTACAGTACAAGAAGTAGAAGCTTGTTATTCTTCTTCATTTTGTATACACAAGCAATTGCTGACATACCTGGCATTGTAGTTTGACTTTGGTTGCTTTCAAACAGGGCAATTGATACACAGTCAATGCATTAACATACAAACGTGTTTAAAATACTTCCTTCTAATTTGATGTGTACTGCCATTGCTAAAATTACACTGTAGCCATTTGAGACCTGTGACTGGAAAGGTAGTTTCATTGAAGATCCTGCTCTCAGAATGCTGGCATTTCTGACAGAATGATTTTACTCATGCCTCTCAATCCAAAGGTGATTTTTATTGCTGCTGCTTTGAAAGCATGGCAAGTTAAATAAAGTCTTCACTTTGTGAAAAGGTGGCAAATTTATTTTGTCACTAATTTCAGGAATATTTTTGTCTCCATAAGCTAAACATCTGTTTTTCCATGAGCTTAGTCCTCATTTAAAAATTCAACTTATTCAAGGAAACTGAATAAAGAAATAGAGATTTTAGTCAAAAACTATGTAAATACCTATGCATTGACTCCATGTCCTATCTCCTATTAACATTTTGTTAACTACAGAGGAAGCTGTAATATGGCCTTCTGGAAGACGGAAAGGAAGCTAGGCTTTGCTAGTTTCACTAGTCGTAGAGCTGCTTTAATTTGTGTTGATTGGTGTTCTTAAAGCAAAACTGTTACATCCTTCCCAGAGTAGGAGATAACACGTGTTATGCTAATGTAAATACATATGAGTCTTGATGAGCTAGGAGGTTTGTTCTAACTAGAACATGCAGCATGTACATCCTGTCATTCTTTTCCTTTATGAAAGTATTAATTCATATTACTCTCCTTCATGCCTGGAAAGATCCAGCCACTGAGGCCTTGAGTAAGTTTTCTTGCTGATTATACCGCTTTCCCAGGATCTTCACTAAGCATCTCTGTCTCAGCAAGAAACTTCTCTCTCCCTCTGTCCACTCCCAGATCTAGAAATCTCTGCTGCTGTGCATCCTGGGTTTATCACTAAATGGCTACTGTTATTTTGGCAGTCACCTTGGTACAGGCACTGATTTTTAGAAAACTTGCAGGAACACAATTACCTTTGAGATTTCTATCCGTCTTTCAAAATGGGTTGAAATTGCTCAAGACATTGAGCAATCTGACTAAGAGAGCATGTATATGGGCCTTCGAGAAAGCATGCTGGAGTTATGTCTCCCAACCATGCTGGTGAGAGTATGGAACTTATGCAGGGTTCAAAGTGGCTCCAGTTACAGGATAAGCAGAGATGCACAGTTGTCCCCTTTGAGAACACATCTCCATTATAGTTTATCCATCAGTCCTGAACACATCCACTCCTGTGATTCTACAAGAAGTCTCTAACAAAACATTGGAATACGTATGCGTAATATTTACATTAGACAGATACGTGTGAAAGAAAAAGCAACCAGTAAATGAATACACAATTATTCCTGTCTTTTTCAAGTCCAAAAGAAGGTGATAGCCAGGAATGGCAGAGGAGCAGAAAGTGAACCTTACTGGAAAGGCAGCAGGAGGCAACTGTGCAAGGAGAAAGGAAGAAGGGAGTCAAAACCACATGGGTATTTTTGGAGAGCTATGTGTTCCTGACATCTGCAAAAGATCAATATAAACCAGAGGCATGTTGAGGGAGAACGATTAACGGCTTATGGCAATGAAAAGGAATCGCTATTAAAATTTCTTTCAGACAAATTTTTAAGACTGATTCTGACCTTCACCTTCAGCATGGGACTAGCTGTTTTGCTGGGTCCTTAATGGATGCATATGGTTGACTGCAGACTCCTCCAAGAATGTGTGTATATTGCTATCTGTACTTTTTTTATTGCAGAGGATTGGAGAAGATGCTGGAATAGATTTTTTTTTTTTTTTTGTATATTAGTTTTAGTACAAAATTGAGGACATTTCCTAAAAATAATACTACTCTTTTTCAGCTTTTTGCATTATTGCTATACTTTATTCCATTAGCTTTTTTTCCACATGATGAACGCAAGTGCCTCATGCTTGTTCTTTTTACTTTCACAACAGTGATGGTTTCTTATGAGTCTTTGGTTGCTGGCTCTTATAGGATGCTCCTTTTTCCCATTATAAAGTACAAGTGGAAAGAAGCATATATTTGGCAAAAGTGGACAAATAGTTGGTCAAGTATAATGCTAAAAAAGCTACCTTAGTTCCTGTTTGGAGGACTCCCAATTTTACTAACTTCAGAAAGAGATGTGCAGCGGAAGTTGGGTGGAATAAGAAGACTAACATTAAGTGAATTACTGTATTAGTGGTTATTTTTTCTCTGTGTCGTACGTCATCTTTTCCTCCATCATTCAGAAGCAGTCCTGACAGCACCATAAACATTAGCCTTCTACAGAGAGTGGACTTACCTCACATTGCAGGACTTGTTTCCAACTGCTGTTTCAGCCAAAACTGCCATGTCTTAGCATGTAATGACAGGTGAAGGTGAGCACAGGAAATCCCACTGATTAATGGTTTTTAAGGATCATTGTCGTCGATATATCACACCAGATAATAACCACCCAGCTGATGAAAAGACACTGCAAAAAGCACCGAGCCTATTAGTAAACAGATCTTTGGAAAGCCACAATATAATTTTTATTTTAGTCTTAGAAAACAGCAATTTGGATTCTTGTAAAGCACTTGGTATTATACCAATCAAATAGGCACCTGTGAGCCCAAGGCTTTGAACATCAGTTTAATCCAGACTTAAAAATCCTGTGTGAATCTTCACATGGCTCTAGGCTTTTAAAATTCTAGAACTGTTGCCCAAATGGAACAAAATTGCTAGAAGGATGTAATGTGCAAACCCAGTTCCCCTGTTTTTTTGGGGTGTTTGGGTGGTTGGTTTGGTTTATTTGTTGGTTTGGGGTTTGGTGTTTTTTTTTGGTTGGTTTGTTTTATTTCCTTTTCTTTTTTTTTTTTAAGGTCAGTAACTATTCAGATTCAGGATCATAATCAACGTTAATTGCATGTATTTGTTTCGGATAATTGCTTGGATGACTGTTTATCATAAAGTAAACATTATCCTTAACTTGTTATGTTAGAGCTGACAATGATAAATACATACTGATTACTTTAACAGAGTATTTATTTTCACCTCTTGCAGCTCATAGAGCTTGGTGATGGAACTAAAATCATGTATTCTCTTTTCCCCTGCATTATCTCCTCATATGAAATTGCCAGTCATGCTTATATATTAAGGCAAACAAAAGAACCTATGGTTTTGATATCAAATAAAAGATATTAAGTGATTTAACAAATTCCATGAATGTGCCCTAAATTATGAGAAATTATGAGTATTTTGTACCATATTTGTTCTTTATATTATTAAGTGACAATAACACAGAGGCTAAATGACACCATCCACACACAACACATTCTAAACTGAATTACGTCAAGTGTAATCACAGAAATATATACACATCTTAGCATAAGAATATTATAATTTTGCACAGTAAATAGAAGTAGATGGAGTTATGTTATAAAAAAAATAAGATGTAAGCTTTCTTTCTGTCAGATCCTTAGCTTGCTCTCTGGAGCTAGATTCAAGTCCAGGGTTTTTATCTTCATAGATTAGCAGTGATCCATAATTTGATCCATTCTTCCTCGAATGCAAATATTTTTCTGACTGGATCTACATTATTTAAATTCCAGACAATATTACTTGTTCAGCAATATGCTAAGCTGTTATTATAGCCTGAGCTAATAAGACAGATGATCTTGAAGATGAAGCAGGAGACAGTTAAAAATCCATGACTGATTTCAAAGATGACCAGTGCTTAATTGATTGACACTCAGAAGGCAAGAAGAAAATAATATAAACCCTCATGATTGTAACTGAATAGAAATTCTCTCATATATTATAAAAAGAATCTTTAACATTGCTAATGACATATAAACAAACAAGACTGATGTGTTTGCATACATTTACATGGATGCAAGCCTCATTTGTAAGGGAGACAAAGAAAAGGGGTAAATTTATTAAAAGATGCAATGGATATGCTAAAAAATTAGAGGATAGCTTATCCCCAGAATATACAGACTCAGCCATTTCAGTGATGTAATAAGTGACCTTGTCCTTCTCACATTACGTTCAAAAAGTATGCATAAATTACACAACAAAGCAGCAACAAAGCAATTTCTCAAAGGGTATTTAAAAGCAGTTTGAGAGTATTAGGATTGGGGTTTGTCTTGCTGTGTGGTCTTGTTCTCTTTGTACATCACTAAGATACAGTTAATCAATAAGAATTGAGTTATAAAATTGCTTCAGTGTGTAGCTTTTCAGAGCAAGAGCTACTCATCTGAATGTTTTTCCTCACAAGGGGAAAAAGAAATAGGAAGATTACATGAAAATCAGTTTTTACTGCAACACAAGGTTTCTGATTTCACCAGTCATTGTTACTGTGTCAACTGGTGCTAATAAACTACTACAACAAAGGGGAAAAAAGCCTTCTGCATCACTGAGGAAAATGGATACTGAGCTACAAAAAGGGGGGAAAAAAAGGCACAACATGATACCGTGTGATTACACAATAGAGTCATTGAGCCTAGAGTATGTTTTAGAATATGGAATTTGGTATTTTAAGGTAAATAAATTACTATGAAAGCCTTATTTCTGTTTTGTTGGTGTACTATTGCTTTCTTTATTTCCTAGAGATTACATTTTTTTGGCAGTGTATAGTTTCAGTGAAATCTAGCAAATCGAACAAATAACACCAACTCAATACTGTTTACAACCCCACCTAGCGGTCTTAAACCTGAAAGTTTCCAATGGATTTGTGTAGTTGACAGCCTGTATGTTTTAGAGTTCTCTCCTTATTTGGTGCTGGCTGTAGTCTTCTTATTTTTAATCTACTGAAATTTCAATTAAAACAGAAATGCATTTTATTTACCCAGGCTTTGAAGTATCTCTTTTATAGCCATAATTATTTTACATATACATAGCAATTTTCATTCTGAAGTGTCAAAATATTTTATAACTGCAACACAACAAGCCAAGATGCAAACTGCATATAAGGATCCTGTCACTCGGTGCTAACGTTGTTGAAGTGGAACTCAGCATCTATTTGACAATATATAGCAGCATTACAGACCATTTCAAACAAAGAGGAATAGTGTTAAATCTGAAAGTGCAAAAGGAAGACAGAGGTTCATGGTTCTTAAATGAGAATATAAGGAGTACACAAGTATCACTATTTTAGCTCTTGCAAATAATGATCTAGAATATGTGATTATAAATGCCAAGGACCTTGGCATTTTCCAAACTGAGAAACAAATAGCCTATCACCTGTAAAAGAACACTGTCTCCCATTACAAAACAGGATATCTGTACTTAAGCTCCTCAGGGGAAAGGGTGCCATCTGCTGAATTGCCATTGTACATAAGCAATTTATTTTCCAGGACAACCTGATAAAGAGAATCTTACACTTAGAAATCTTTAAGCACTTGCATGTTAATCGTCTTTACATCGGTCTCCTGTACATATGGTTTATGATTCAGTCTTTAAATACATGATCACCTTTCGCTAAGACCACCATCTATCTAGTGAGAAATAAGCTTTCCTTGTCTAGTGTCCTGTTTCCTGTCTACTTACTTTACATGTTAATGGGGTTAAGATCATCTTTTTTTTCTTCCCCCCCCCTCCCCCCCAGACCCTTTAATTTTTAAATGTCTTGGATGTGAAAATCTATATGTAAAAGAAAGATGCAATTCTTTATTATAAACCTAGCTCCTCTTATAGATCCAAGTCATAGTTTGCATTTTTGATGACTTGACATTATTTAAGACTGATCAGGCATTTTTCGGTTTAGCTCAGTGTGAGCCAGTAGTGTACCCTGGCAGCTAAGAAGGCGAACTCCGTCCTGGAGTGCATGAAACTCAGCAGAATCAGCTGGCCAGAGAGGTGATTATCCTGCTCTATTCAGCATTGCTGCGGCCTCAGCTTAAATACTGTGTGCAATGCTGGGCCCCACAGTTTAAGGAGGATGTGAAGGGTCTTGAATGTGTCCAGATGAGGCAACAAAGCAATGTCCTGTGAGAAGTGGCTGAGGACTTCAGGCTTGCATAGTTTGGAGAAAAGGAGGCTGAGTGGTGACCTCACTGTTAGAGAATTGTGGGAGGGAGGTGCTGAGCTCTTCTCCCTGGTATACAACGATAGGAAGCCTGTGAATGTTTTAAAGCTGCGTCAAAGCATGTTCAGACTGGACATTATGAAGCATTTCTTTATCAAGAGGGTGATCAACCCCTGGAACAAGCTTCCTAGAGAGGTGGTCGATGCCCCAAGCTTGTCAGTGTTTAAGAGGTATTTGGACAATGCCCTTAATAACATGCTTTAGCTTGGTCAGCCCTGAATTGGTCAGTTGGTCTGGCGGTTGGACTAGATGATCACTGCAGGTCCCTTCCAACTGAAATATTCTATTCTATTCTAAACCTTTTAGCTAAATTAGCTCTACAATATCTTTTGAAGATAACTACCATTTTATTACTACCTGGCTGATACTGTATCTCATCTGTTATTAAGTCCAATACTTCTATGCAGAAGTTGGTAGATCAGAAAAACGGCATCGGTTGCCATGAACTGATCATCCTACTTGTTCTAGAGCAAAGGAATGTTAGCATCATCCACTGCTTCCCCATGCAGTCTTGAAAATTACCATAAAGGAAAACTCAGCATAGGGGTGTGAATTTCTAGCTTGCTTAAACAAGTTTACATTCTGTAATTCTTTCATTGTATAGCGGCCTTAAACTAGAAAAGCTTCACTGGCATAAAACAACTTGTGGGCAATAAAAATTTCTTTCTTTCTATTTTGATTAATGTGAAAGCCCATTATGTTGCAGGTACAGGGAGCTTCATCGGAAGGGAAACATGAAACAGAATTCTAAGTTGCTGCAACACAGATGAAAATGGGTAAAATAGCCATGTACTAAAACATATCTATTCTGAAACAGCTTACATGATGAATTCTGTCTTCCCTGAAACACAAAATAAGCTATGTAATTTTGCTACCAGTAGATGTGATTGGCCTTTTATGCTAAATAATACATTTACTGGCTGCTCTAAAGGCAAGCAATATAAGCAGAAATGTTTTCAAGCCTTTCCGTGCATGTCCATATGTCAAGTTCTTCTTACGTACATTTTCAGTTAAAATAATTATTTAAATTATGATCACAATCATAAGTTAATCTCATGCAGCTTGACTTTCTTTCAAAAGATTTAAGATGCCTTAGAATCCTTGATTTTTCTTGATCATAAATATATTAGATGGATATTAATTAGAATGGTACATTTATACAAACACATTAAGACGATGTAGACTTGAAAAAAGGAAATTAAACCGCTTTCTGATTTTTTGCAGGTCTTACTGGAAAAGAGAAATGCAGTAGACTTCTCAATCTTTGCAAGACAAAAAAAATGCTGTAGCTGGTCTAGTAGGGTGGCAAGATCTCAAGGTGATCAGTGAGTAAAAACAAGGCTACATTTCCAAACTAGTTAAAACTGCTGCTCCAAAACTGTTTCCAGAGAAAACCAGTATGTTTTCAATAAACTATAAAATACGCTTTTTAATATGAGGCAGTGGTGTCCAAGACCAAGTTCCTATTGCAAACTTATGAACACATTGCTGGTACAGCCAGTATCTCTGTATCAATAAAATTTTCTAGTTTGCTATCCTTAACCTCTAGCATTACAAAGATTTGTGTATGCTAACCTTTAGGGTCTGTGAGAAATTCCATAACACACATAGCATATAAGGGCAGCTCCTTGATCATCAAGCTACAGCTCTAAATATGAACATCCCAGGCTCTCATATAGAGGATGTCAGTAACATCTGTAAATATAAGTTTATTAGTAAATTGTCAGTTACATATACAAAGCTTATTTATTTAAGTGAAGTCTGCAGGATCAATTACAATTTATCAGTAATTACTCCACTAGCAGATACTAGATATTAGTTTTCACTAGAAGAGCATGATAAGATGTCAATATGCGCACAAGTGTCCTGGTTTCAGCTGGACAGAGTTAATTTTCTTTCAATTACAGTGCTGTGGTTTTGGCTTTCGTCTGAGAACAATGCTGATAACACACCAGTGTTTTGGTTTTTGCTAAGTAGCGCTTACCCTGATCAAGGACTTTTCAGTATCTCATGTCCTGCCAGTGAGAAGGGGCACAAGAGGCTGGGAGGGAGCACAGCCAGGACAACTTACCTGAACTAGGCAGAGAAACTGGGGAGAGCTGGGCATAAGGCACTGATCACTGCTCGGGAATGAGCTGGTCATCAGTCAGTGGGTGGTGAGCAATTGTATAGTGCATCGCTTGTTTTTCTTGGGTTTTATTTCTCTCTTTGTTGTCTCCCTTTTAATTAAAAATATTATTATGCTATAATAATTTATTTAATTTCAATTATTAAACTGGTTTTATCTCAGCCCAAGGTTTACCTCCTTTACCGATTCTCCTTGCCATCCCACTAGGTGTGGGGTTGTGAGCGGGCAGCTGCATGTACTTAGTTACTGGCTGGGGTTAAACCATGACAACAGGTCAAAACCAAAACACGTATCTGTGATTCACTGGAGGATATATGAATAACAAACAAACACGCAAACAAACCCAAACATAATTTATATTCATTTTTTAATAGATAAGATGATAAATATATTATAGTATATAGTAAGTGCTATCCCATTTCTGCAGCAGTGCGGGTAGGAAGGTTTAGACACATGTTTATAATAAAAGTAAATGGGATAGGTCTGTTAATACATATTAACGACAGTTTTTGTAACATTATTTCTATTTGTAAATGGTTACAACTAAAAATGAAGTTATAAATTCTAAGTATGAACTCATAAGAACAAGCTCCTACAACCAAGGGGAAACTTCCTAGAAAAAAAAAGACAAGATTATAACCTTTTCCTAGCAGCCAGCTGATGCAAGACAAATACTATTCTGCATTTCTTTTCCAGCAGTTGTCTGTGTCTGAATTTCAAACCCATTTGTATGCTGGTCTTTGTTAGGAGCAGTAAATTCCTCCCGGTTGCCAAGAAAACCTTATTTTGCAGTGATTTGTCTAGAGTTTCGTATTGCACATCCCTCCTGTGCATAAAGGAAGTCAGAAATATTGCAGACAATCGTTTCTGGAGATCATGATCTCTGACCTTTATCTGCATTTAACAACAGCCTAAATTCCACATTTTGTTCAGCATAGTATTCACACAAAAGTCTTCTAAATAGGCCTCTACCAGCTGCTATTCAGTGTGTAAGAGCTGCTCCCATTGTAAAAGCCTTTTCTCCCACATTTCATTGTTTTAGGAGTAAAATGCTACTGGTTGCATTTTTAGATTTTTTATTCTTCACATCTTTAATGAGAAGTAAAAATGCTAATATTCTGCCAAGCATTTTCTTTCTACGACTTTCTGCCAAGTACAGCTAAATCAGCAGTCAAAACACTTACGGTTTTTATGGTAACAATAATGTGAATAGTAGTTCAAAAAATGTGATTGTTTCACAAATATTTTAGTTCCCATATACCCGACAAACATTTACAAAGAAAGCAGATACTCCTAGCTGTGATAATTTCTTATTTTCACACATTGTGGCCAAACCCACTCCTGGCTTCTTTAGGAAGCAATAGATTTGTTAGTAGTCTTAAACTCTAATAATGAAAACATTAAGAAGTGCTAAATAACTATATTTAGAATATGATTTAAAATGCAAGACCTAATTTTTCTTATTCTGTTTTATAAATGTGATGTTATATATTTGTTATTCAGGCTATAAAGCTTGGATAAAACAATTTTTTACAACACAAAAATATGTACAAGGCATCAAAATGGAAGCTTTCTATATTGTATTTGACATTTAAAATTAAGAAAGAAACAAAAATAAATTACATTACAGTAAGGGAGACAAAGACATTCTTATTTTCCTGAAAAACAAATTACACAGTTAAGACACATGATGAAATAGGAGAAGCCTGCATTTAATTATTCCTGAATATTAGGTCCTGATTTCCAGGATGAACATAGACCTCCGAGGACTAGCATGTGACTCTAAATGGAACACAATAAGCAATAAGCCCTGTATTCAGTAAAGACTGTATTTCTCCTAGGACTTTGGCCAAAAAAAAAAAGCCTCCAAGAAAATGGCATCTGCAGGGTGGGAACATGCTACCTGACATGTAACAGCGGATCCCGGATAGCCCTGCTATCCTTCTCCCCTGTCTACCATTGGTCAGGCACTAGGTCAAATCTTTTAGGACCTCTCCAGATCACACACTTGTTCTGGCATGCCAGAGAGGACAAAAATCATATCTGAGATTGCACATAAAAAGAAAGAAGGGAAGGGTATTAACAGCTGCCACTTCCTTTATGCATGTGGATAAAGGCTAGATGTACTACAGTAACTGGAACAGAAATTAACACATATAAATTCATTTTTTTCTGGATCAAGGCAGTATGATACCACTACATATGAGATACCCAATGGTTTTAGATATAGTATTAGGAAGGAAATAATCTAATTAATTGGTTTCAGACTTTACAAAGTTCACACAAGCTTGCCTTAAATGGAAAAGCCGTATGTCACTAACTATAGGTCCTGATTTTGGTTTCAGTCCTTCCAGGCAGATTCAGATTTATTTAGGGGCACATACCTGGCAGTAATAAAGTTAACTATTCATTTGTCTGTAGAGATCACTACCTTTCTCTCCAGCTGAATTAAATTGTTAATGTGCACTATGCTGAATGTATTGTTTGTGTGCTAGGCACGCTGTCAAATCTTCATCATTAGAGGACTTAAAAATGCCTATTTTGTGCACGCAAAGAGTCTTGGAGGTATGTGGCAATGTCTTTAGATACGTACAGTGGCAGAAGAGCAAGTGTGTGTAAAAGGCCAGAGGAAAAGACAGACTCAACCGCACACAGACGAAACAGAGGTTAGCTGTCTGGGTTTTTTTTGGTTTGTTTTTGCTTTTCTGAGTCCTACTCCCAGGTGTACAAAATTAAATTCCACTTCAGCACCTAAATGTTTCTATACACGGACCTGAGCAAAATTAGTTGCAATTTTGAGTTCACCATGTTCCATAGCTTATTACTTTCAACTTGCTGTACTGAAATATCCAACAGCCGTATAGCCTCAGACATAGTGAAAAAAGTAAAAATATTTGCTCCGTGACAGCTATGTGTTATTTGTCTCTAACTCTCCTTCTGTCAAATAACTACCCAGTCTAATTAAGAGACCTCACCTCAAGTTGCTTTAGAGCCATCTTGCCAGTAAAGCTATCAAACTTGCACTGCAAGAAAGGAACAACTCAGTAATTGGCAGAGATTTAGTTTGACACCTTTCCTACTTACAGGACATTGAAAGAATGTGAATAAACACACAAATCTGCCTATCCAGGGTCAGAAAATGAGCATATCCAGGCCAGTATGGTAGGTTACCTTTGCTGGCTGCCAGACACCCACCAAACTGCTCTCCCACTCCCCCTCCTCAGCAGCTCAAAGGGAGAAAATAAGAAGAAAAAGCTCATAGCTTGAGATAAGGACAGGGAGATCATTTCTTAATTACCATCAGGGCAACACAGAACTGACTGGGGGAAGATTAACTTTAATTTATTGCTGATTTAAAATTGAGCAGGATGGTGAGAAACAAAGACAATACCAAAATCACCCTCCATCCACCCCCATTCTTCCCACATTCAACTTTACTCTTTTGTTCTGACTATTCTATCTCCTCCCTTGTGAGCAGCGCAGGAGGGATGGGGAATGGGGATTGCACTATTCAGCAATAAACCATTCTTGTTATCAACGCTATTTTCATCACAAATCCAAAACACAGGACCATACATAGGACCTATGATAGAGCTGACAGCTAACATTTTATTAACACTAAATCAATAAGAAAATTATTTGCTAAATTATTTAGTCTTGCTTATACCCTTGGAAGACTTGTGTTTAGCATATTTTAAAAAGTGATTGATCACAGTATGTCAGCAGCCTAATATTCAATTTGTAGGAATCTTTCTTTCCCATCGTTCACACTCACATGCATTTCTTTCTCTCAGAAGAAAAAAAAAAGTGTAGAACATAAAAGAACAACAGCATTGGAAACATTACTTACAAGTGTTTCTCTGCTGGAATTAGTGTAGAAATTTCTTGTGTATGCTCCATGTTGGGGTAATGCTGAAGAACTGCAAGATCTGCAAGCTTTTTTGCTTCTTAGTCATGCTGATTTTTAGGTGAAGACAGAGACAATAACCACCTCTGCTTTCTTCACACACTTAGTGACAAACTATTAAGAATAGTACAGCTGGAACACCATAAATATAAAAGAATGATAATAGAAGTAGCGCCAACTCCTGCATTTTTATCCTTGGAAATCCACTTATATGGAAAGTATCAAAAGCTTGCAAGGGGTGGGACAGACTATCTAACTATCCTTGTGTAATGTTAGATCCAGAGATAATGCTAAATCAGACTAGCAGTACACCTCTTTGTATGACCACATCCTTACCTAGAAGCTAATGCCCGTGAGGAGCTCTGATAGACTTTAGTACTAAGTCCATCATTATAGTATGCATGTGGGAACCTATGCCAGAGGCTGGTTTTGTTCAAAACTATCAGGTCAGCCCTGCAGCACAGTATGCCTAATTGTGCCAGGGCAAGGACACACACTGCATTTTTATTTCTGTCATACTCATTTTTAGAAACAGATAAAAGTACAGCTCTGCTCACATGCAAAGCATGCTGGGCTTTACCAGTCATGACAGGCAATATGGACTGTAATTGCACAGGTATGCTGCCGCTTAGTATTTCCCATTCATTAGTCACCATATTA